CTGACGTCCACTGGAATGTGTGTCTCGTCTCGGCTGTGGGCTGCTTTCACCTGTTGAAATATAAGTCTGTGAATGCGGGTTAAGGATCTGAGGTAATCCCCCAGTTCACGCTCGAGCTGTGCCAAGGAAACCTCCTGCAGCTGGGGTCCACAAACCTGTGGGAGAGGCATTGGTCGACCTGTAAGCATTTCATGAGGGGTAAGATGTGTTATTCGGTTAGTCTGAGAATGCATGGCCATCAGTGCAACTGGCAAGGCATCAACCCATGTCAAACGGTTGTCGCTGTCAGCTATTATCTTCGCTATTTTACATTTCAATATGCCGTTCGCTCGTTACACCGATGCCTGTGATTGGGGATGATACACACAACCAAACTTCTGTTTTATTCTGTTTGAACATTTGCTGAATCACCTGTGAAACAAAATGAGGTCCGTTATCAGATGATATTGTGTCAGGCATGCCAAATCTGGGAAAGACTTCTCTGCACAAAAACCGTGCTGCTGCTTTGTGGTTGTTGTGGACAACCACCAACATATACCTCTTTCCCTGAACACGAGTTATCATGTCAACGTAATCCATAATCAGATGGCGGAACGGACCGTCTGGCATGGGGATATGTGCTAGGGGTTGTGTGAACATCTTACGCACATTATACTTAGGACAATGCGGGCATAAGGCCAGCTCTCTGTCTACCATAGGTGTCATGTACGGTGACCACCAGACTGCCTGTAACTTTTGAATAACTTGGGCTCGTGAACAATGATCAGGTCCATGCATTATTTTTATCGCGGTTGGTAACAGAGACAAAGGTAGAACAAAAGGCCCTCGACAACTCCGCCACAACCCATCATGGGGACGTGATAGTCGTGTCGCCCCCCTTTGCACCCACAGATGTTTTTCCGCTTCAGAAACTCTATTTTGGGCTTCTATTAACGAGGCTAGGTTCGCAATAGGTTCACATTCAGCTATATGTACCATTGGTCCCTGCACTGCAGGTCCTGTGGCTTCTTTGGCTGCCTGATCCGCCAAGTTGTTTCCTATGGCAATGGGTGTCTTTGCTGTCTGATGAGCTGCACATTTTACAATAGCTAACGCAGATGGAAGTTGCATAGCTTTTATTAACTCTACTACTGCTTGCCCATGTGTCACTGGGGTGCCATCTGTTCTAACAAACCCTCATTGTTTCCAGATGCTAGCATTGATATGGCATACCCCGTACCCATAAGCACTGTCAGTATAGATTGTCACTCTTTTACCAGTAGCCAATTTACATGCAGCTGTTAATGCTTTTATCTCTCCCAACTGGGCAGAGCAAGGTTGATCTAGGCTCATTGATTGTACCTTGGTAAAGGTCCCATCGGGGTTAAGTTGGACTATTCCATATCCAGCTCTATTCCCTGTCTCACCTCTGATGCAGGATCCGTCTACGAACAGCGTCAGATCAGATGGGATTGGATGATTGTATAAGTCCTCCCTTACCTTCATGAAGGTGTCCGTCTCCTGGAGACAATCATGGGGCTCACC